TTGCCCTTGAAAAACCATCCACCCCCCCCCACGGCTGATGTCCTTGCAAGCAGGTTATTGAACGTCAGTTTGGTGTTTGCGCTTTCTCTTTTGAATAAGACAGTGCTGTAGTGAAGGTGTTTACTCTGCAGTCTTTCTATATCAAAATAGTGAAACACATTTGTATGCATTCCTTTGTTCTGTTTTCTCTCTTTTGACCCAATTCTTGGAAGTGAACCGAAAAACGAGCGCTTCCTAAACTGCTGATTTATCATGGAGGCTAAATAAGCCCACCGATGGGTTTTATAGTTGAGAATGTCGGACAGTGTTAACACCAGGTGGATTTATCCAGAGAGGATATCGCACATTTCTCGGCAGTAAAGTTTTAACCTGCAAGTGACCTTCTGATATTGTGGTGATTCAGTATGCATCGTGAAACACCAATCATTCTCCTTTATGGTTCTGCTTTAGAATGTTGTGAACCTACTGACTTTAACAAGCTTTTTGTTTATGCACTGCTAAAGCCGGAGTAGGGTTTGGAGTGTATTAGCCCTCAGTTGTTGTTCATTGTTTTGGTATTTCAACTTTCCATTCTCATAGGCAAAAATATATTTCCAGATATATTTTTTAAAATATACTTTTAGAATATATATACAAGAAATTGACCAAATATACAGTATATTGCTAATAAAGTTTTTAAAGCTTTTATGTTTTATGTTTTAGCTACACATATATACAGTATATGTAGCATATTTGGTCAGTCGAAAGTTTAAACAAAACATATTTTCGATTTGAAAAATATATTTACCTGATCTCTGTTTGTGCCATATATTGAGCATAAATTTGTTATATATATATATATGTATATCAGTGGAGTGTGGTGGTGTTTTAAAATGAGGAGGCAGTTTTATATAAATAACAGTAACAATTTGAACAATATTCTGGAAACAGTTTACAATTAGTTAACATTAGTTAACTACTTTAGTTAACATGAACTAAAAATAAACAATAGCCTACTACATCATTTATTAATCTTAGTTAATATTAATTTCAACATTTACTAATGCATTATTAAAATCAAAAGTTGTGTTTGTTAAAATTAGTTTATGCACTGTGAACTAACATGAACTAACAATGAACAACTGTATTTGTATTAACTAATGTAAACAAAGATTAATATATACTGTAATTCATGTTCATTGTTTGTTCGTGTTAGTTAACTCATTAAATGACACCTTATTGTAAAATGTTACCAATTTTTTTTTATTTGTGAGCTGATGTTCAGCTGTTCTTTTTAATAGTCAACTTATTTCGGGTCATTATCATAAAAGCTCTGTAAACACTGCCACAGACACAAAGATATAGCTTTCATTTCATCACGCTGCATGCTCACTAAAAACTGAGCAGTCATCACGTTTTCAAACCATTTCAAGTTTTATTTTTACGTGATACAAAGTAGTGGTATCTAAGCAGGAGAGTTGTTTACTTAGGCCTATTTTATAATTAGTCAATAACGCCATAATTTTCTTCATTCAGACCGAAAGCTCGCATGAAAACAAGAGGCGGGATTTATCACACGAACCAATCACATCCAATCATAACCGATCATATGCAATTATAGCGCGATGGAGGCATTGCCTCCTCTCACGTGACTTTCCCCCATTCATCTCAATGAGCCTCCAGAAAAGTCAAGGCACGCTTTAGGGTCTGTGTAGAAAGTCAATGAACCGAAGGGAGGCAAGCCTCCGCTGTAACTTTACCTGCGGGTGTCGCTGTTGTACAGTGTTACTTTATAAAAATTAGTGACTTTAAGACTTTTAATATCATATTTAGTCATATTTGCGCTGTTTTATTTTTGTAATATCTATTATTTTCTCATCCAACTTTTTGAGGAGACACTGCCTCCCTTGCCTCCTCAGAGGAAATGCCCCTGATATTTTTTTTGTTAAGAGGTAAACAAGGAAATATATGTTTGCCATGAAAACATTTTATTAGCTCTTTGTACCAAGTAATGCATGTGAGGCATTGGGCAACGTACAACTCATCTCCTTAAAAAAAAAAAAAAAACGACTGTGCTTTAAAACATTAAAATTATGTTTTTTTAACGTTATGTGTCTATTACTAAAATACAGTGAATTATCATCATTTGCATATAAAATCACAAATTAGTG